GCAATTAGTCGTGTTAATGGCAATTATCAATGCCCTAATATCATTATTAGGCTTTTACCATGCAAAGATTTTTTAATGGGAAAAGGTGATATTAGTGGTCATTGTTGCAATGGTGTTAAGGGATTAATGAAAATAGCTACTTCTGATAATGATTTGAAGCTTCAAAGTATTTGTGAATGCCTCAAGAAAGAGCTAAGCAAATACCTCAACTTTGCAACATTTGCCTTTCTATTTCTATTGATCCTAATGTGGATTGCAAAAAGTAATATTTTCCTCCCTCTTTTAATTGTTGTTCACTTTTTTATTTTACAACTTATTGTCATGTCAGTTTTTTTTTTCATTCAATATTCAATATTCGTGTTAAAGTTTGTCAAAATCTAGATTAACGTGTTGCAAGACCGCGTTCAAACATAAGCCCTTTAGTTATGGTGAAGGGATCCCGAACCATCTCACCATAGTTAATGTTGGTAAATTATTGAAAATAAAATGCAATAAGCCAATAATTTTTGCCGGTTATTCCCTTTTTTAGTTCTTTTGTGATATATGGACCTTTTAGATTACACTTTAAAGATTCCTCGAGTAAACTAAAAAGCTTATGAGAAAATGCTTGACCATGTTCTAATATATTATAAACGTTAAATGACACTCTAATATTTTGTCAGTCCTAGTTTCGAAGGCTTTTTTTGTATTAACTTTCAAAAATAGGAATAAAATCTGCATGGTGACCTAAAAAGCGGAATAGAGTTTTGTGGTTATATTTGTCACCCTTTGCCACAAATGTGTCATTCGTGAACTCAATTATGTATAAAAATAGGAAAAATTACTTAAATACACAACACTTATTTACCTATTCTCAATATTTCCCTACTCTTTTACTAAAATACAAAAATCCCTTATTTTCCCCCAATTCAACTTAACCGGATACTTTATTAGTTTAAGTATCCGCCCGTTATTAATTAAAGTATCTGTGCTGCTATATTATGCATCCGCCCTTTAATTAAGTATCTGTGCTGCTAACAACTTAATAATTTAAGTATCCGCCCATTATTAATTAAAGTATCCGCGCTGCTATATTATGTATCCGAAAACACTAAAAAAAGGGATTTTTGGTAATTAATGAAAGAGTAGGGAAAGGAAGTAATTTATTTCTTATACTATGTCATTTGCCTAATTTTTACATAAAAATAAGAGCAGTATGTTATTTACAATAAATGACTATATTTTATATCTTTTTTCACTGTATTTTTGTATACAATTTTTATTTTTTTATTTATACACTAATACATCTTTAAGTACAATAAACTAAATAATGAATTGACTCTAAATATAACTCACTATCCTTATTTACGTCCATACAATGAGCAACTTTCCATTATTAACATTAGAACTAATAATTACTTATTTAAAGACATACCCGATCACATTCTTATCAGTTTAAATACTCCATTCTCTTGTTGTCTCAAAAGATGCGGTATTGATATGTCATAATAATGACTGAATAAAACTTAGAAAAAACGTTAATTAAAAAATCAATGAAGGTAAAAATTAAAATACATTTAACTAAAAATACACAGGAATACATACCCATATATTTAGGATATACCTTTTGAGTAAATATACAATTATTGAATAAAAGTGACTTTATTTGCATACAACTATTTTTTATTGGATTTAACTTTAAACATGAACATGTTATAACCAATGTGTGTATTTTAGGAGCCACAATAAATCCTATTATAAATTCATCCAGAACAAAGTTATGTTACCAATATTCCTTGATAAAAATGGCTAAAGAAGACGAAACCGTGTGAGCAATTACTATTTAGCAATACTAATATACATAAATATAGTTAAATAAGATACAACGAATATGCATACAAAAATATGGTTAAATACTAATATACATAAATATAGTTAAATAAGATACAACAAATATGCATACAAAAATATAGTTAAATACTAATATACATAAATACAGTTAAATAACATACCACAAATATGCATTCAAAAATATAATTAAATACTAATATACATAAATATAGTTAAATAAGATACAAATAATATGCATACAAAAATGAAGCCTATCAACGATTCTTAATTGCCCAGAAAGAAATTCACTTATTCATTAATTAAAATACTTTAAGCCAAATTAATTAGGCATGAAAGAGTAAAAGTTGATGATGGTAAATATTGGGAAAAGATCACGTAAAACGTGCCTGCAATAATTAATTAGACATTCAATAATAACTTTCCTATTTTGTATTTATTTATATTAAATGTATATAAAAATTATTTATTTGTATATAATTAACTTTGCTATTTATTGTGTAGTTATATCCATATATTATGAAAAAAAATAAAATGTAGCTATTTTTCTTGAATATATAGGTATGTTTGTCATATTCTGTAGTTTTTCCTAAAAATAATATGAACTAGCCTCTTTTTAACCCGAAATTGAATATATAGCCATTACTATCATGAAGTTTCAAATTCCACGAGTGAAATGATTTCATGACAATGTCTTCGTGCCGGTAACGTTAATCATATATTAATCCTGATTAATTTGGTTAATATTTTCTTGAGCAGATTAAGAGATTCATCATCAACTAGAGTGTTCAAGCAGAAGAATTACAGGAATACTGAGATGATGGCATATAGAAGACCAAATTATAATTATCATAATTACCATTCAATTTTCCATAAGAAACCTCTAATTGTCAATTAAGTGAAGGTAAATTAAGTTCATGGCTAAATTGCAATTTATTCTAATTTTAACGTAATACGGTCAGTTTATTATTTTACTAATTGGTTTGTTTTTGGAAAATGCAGTGCTATAGCTCCATGAAGTGGAATGCGGAAATATCTAAGAAGACTATGATCACTTCATTAGACTTAATGTGTATTGTGCTTCAATGTGTATGATATGATCAATTGTTTTATTTAATAAATTATTGTGTCAAATGGACGGATTGAATTGAATTTGGACGAATAGAAATAGGATGGTTCACGATTGAATATAACATATCAAACAAAACAAAACTAAAAAATATTTAGCAAGACTTCTCACGGGTCAATCCTCGCTTACATGTTTAACCTAAATCAATCCAACTGCAGGTCAAAATAAGCGGAGTTAATAACTTGACAAATTAATAAATCATCCAAACTTGAGTAGATTGGACAAATCTTGTTTTAGTAGCTATTTTGATTATCTAAATGCAAAGTCTAGAGTATATTTAAAGCTACAATAAATTATACAACAACATATTTAGTGTAATTTTACAAGTTTTGGGAGATTGGTGTACACACAGTCTTATCAAATCTTGTGAATATAGAAAAATTGGTATTTTCAATGGTTCCTTGACTCAAGTAATACAATATAAAAAAACTAGTATAAAAAGGAAATTATTAGTGAAGAAGAAAAAATAATGGGAAAAGGAATAATAGAAACATAAAACTATATGATAACCTAAAAGTACAATATTAATTTTCTTATTGAAAAAGTCGATCCTAATTTCGTTAGTTTTCTTTTTCTAACTTACCATAAATGGTTAATTAAATTGAATGCAGTAGGATTAATAAAAAAAATATTAGTTTCCTTTCTCTAACTTACCATAAACGGCTAATTAATTGAATCATGTTACAAATTGAGATTATAAAATACCCTATATCTATATATATGTGTGCGCTCTTCGTTTTATCATTAGTTGTTAATTTTCTTACTTTTTTAGATACTGTAAAAACAATGGCAACCTTGTACGTTCATCCAGTTTATTGTTAAAATCCATATCTTTTCCCAATTTCAAGAGTTGAATATCGTCCAATTCAATTAACAGAAACTTCAGTGATCAATAGAAAACCTATTTTCATCAGCTGGGTTTTTCCGCCCGAGGAATGTATCAAGATAAATACTGATGGCAGCTTCATGCCTAATTCGGGGTTGGCGGGTCGCACGCGATGACCGGGGAAGGTGGTTGGACGGGTTCTACGGACAGCTTGGCATGAAAGCTCCGTCGAGTCTTACAGCTGAGTTATGGGAAATACACAGAAGGTGTGATTTTGGCAAAGTATAATGATTTGAAGAAGGTTATTATCGAGATTGATTCAAGTGAAGCCCTGAAGTGGCTATGTCTGACGGGTAACGTCTCGAAAAGTCATCCCGACAGCGTTGTTATAGAAGAATGCAAGAGTCTTATATCCGAACTTGGGATTGTACTAATTCATACTTTGAGATAGGGAAATAACTATGCAGATCACCTGGCGACGTTGAGAAGGATACAACAAGAAGAGATGGTAATAATACATCACCCACCACATTCCGTGCAACTTTTGCTTCGTGCGGACATGGATCACGTAGCATATCCTAGGTATCCAAAACATGTATCCTAATGTGGATCGTGAAGTTGTAAATCATTTGTAAAAATTAAAAAGAATGTAATAGCATATTAGCATTGAAATAGAAAAATAAATGTAAAAAGGAGGTTTGACGTCTCGTATTGATTACTACTTGCTTTCCAAAATTCGAGGGACAACTAAACTTTTCAAATTTGTTTGTTTGTTTTTTTTTTCCTTCTAAAAATAGGCAAAAGAAGTAGTCGTTTTAAAGAATTTAAATAATCAAATGTATAATCTCATAATTTTCTCTAGTAAACACCAACATCTAGTGGCAAATGTAGCCGTGAGAACCATAAAAGTCAAGCTAATATAATTTGCAACTTTTATTGTCTTTCATTCACTCACATTTCATGGACAAGGATTCGAACAAGTTCACATAAAATGCAAGGATAATAAAATTCAAAGCTGGAACAATTGTAAGCTTCTTCAAAGCCATATGCAAATCCGTGGTATAAAGACATATCGTTGGATTAAACCAGCAATCGGATGAATAAATTAAATACAATGTCCCCTAGTGATTATTACATATTATGCTTTCCTTGATTGCCAAAGACCTGCTGATATAAGTTGACTAATGATAACAACTTTCAACTTGAAGATGCACAGACTGAGCTGTAACCTCTCCTGCCAAACATTTTTTTCTTCAGTTTTCAGCATCCTTTGCCAACAAATATATACAAGATCTTTTGCCAAACAAATATACATGTCACCATGTCATGATTTCTATACATCATCTCTTCATTCAACCAAATTTAATGAGCTAAACAACACGAACCTAGTTCAGCATTTCATTCAAAATTTCATGTTCCAGAGATAGAAACCTGTTCAGGAATTCGTTCATAACCGGGAATCTAAAGATTGGATTGCAAGCTTGGCTGCTACCAAGGAAATATTATCTTGCACGTATCCAATGGAATCTTCAAGTCTGTCTAGGGTGTCCTTGATGTCCATTGCCCTCAACTTCTTCTTTTGCAGCTTCAGCAGTTCTGACTCAGAGGATCCTAAGGAAAGGGAAAGATAATTGCAAGATTGAAAAATAAGAAACGGACATATTAGATATTCAATTTTCTTTCTCGAACATAGGACTGCTCCAAATGGTTTCCACCATCACAATTCATAACTACATAAGCATGCTACATCTTTCCATTTAGTTAAATACCTATTATTGCAGATCCAATGAGTGTAACTTGCAATATTTGGGACATAAGGATTACCCCTTTTGGTTGAGAAAATCTGATGATGAGCAAGATGTAACACCAAGGATCTAGTTTCTCTTTAGTTCAACATAGAAACAAGAATGGAGAAGATCTGTTTCTTGCTACTAAATAGGGATGTTTCTTGCTACTAAATATAGTTCCTTCGGTTGTCCCTCCTCTCTATGCTATATGAAAGTTGGGATATTTCTTATTTTCTTAAGATATTTCCCCTCTGTTTAGGCAAAGTTGGGATCTATAGGTTTTGATAAACTGAAGCACAAAAGAAAAAAAACAGAAACAAATGAGAGCATTGATGTTCATCTGAATACTCTGGAACTATTATATTACTGTTAGTAGTTGCTCTAACCTGAAATAAACTTATTTGTTCCAGAATATTTAGACAGGGATAAAACTATGCCTCAAACCAGGGGCTATCTATCCTGGATAAGAGGAGAAAGAAGGTAGATAAGAAGAGGCAAAACAATAGTTCAGATTTTGCTTTGCCGAGCTAAATTTGGTCAAAGGTATATAATAATCCAGTCCAACAGGACATTTCAATTCAGTGCAAGTTGTTTCAAGAGTTGGTACAACCTTGAGTTTTGGATGAACAGTAATTACATGTTCACATGTTTATAACTAACAAACCTTAACAGAATTCAGAACGCAGCAACTACTAAAAGTATTGCTGAAGCTAAACAAGCAGATGACAATAATCATGTTCCAAGCCTAGAGTTTCGATATATAGTTATCTATATAGCCAAGCTGGACCTGTAATCGAAACATGCTACCGATCCATTCAGAAGCTGTCAAATGAGGTTTCTACATAATGCATAGATATACTTGGAGACTGAATATTTACCAGAAACAGGTTGAAGTGCTGAAAAGGATACAAGCTCAGCGAGAGGTGGAATGAAGCTGTTGTCACAATCCAGAGCAGGTGTATTCTCAGACCATCTCAAAGAGTTTGCAGTTAAAGTTTGCAACAAAGCTTCCTGAGGAGCCTGAAGAAACATATGCTAATTAAGTGTAATGCTTCCCGAACACGAATAGACTGAACACAGAGAGAAGGCGAAAGGAGAACCTTCAGCTTTATTTCCAAGCTATTCAAACTACGGAGAGCTTCTTTTATCTTCAAGACTTTGGAACTTAGTTCTGTATCACTGTGTGGAATGTTGTCCAGCAATGGTATGACTACACCTGTCAAGTACGGTTCTGCCTACAAATTATGTCAAAGTGAAGACCTGCTTGGATATTCTGATTGTGAGCATAAGAGTTTCTATAGTGCTTAAGTCAATATTCATGGCAAATGATTGCTGACAGAAACAAGAAGTAAGATTTGATACTACTTATAAGCCCTTATGCCATTAAAATAACTTCCTCGGTTGGCATAGCTACCTAGTACTTATAAAAGCTCAAAGACAAAAGCCCCTCTTTTCCCATCAGTAAGCTGAACATAAGGTAAATTGGTCGTTAGCTCACTCCATACCCTACTTTATGACATCTATTATTACCTTTTTATAATCAAACTTTGCTTGAAAGATTTTCTTTCCAGACAACTTTTAGTATTTACACTTATATTGACAAATAGAAAATGTTTTGGGAAGAAAGGGAGCACACATGTAGAGTGCCACGACTATGGTTTCTTAAAATGATACTGCTTAGAACTTAGAAGAAACATACGTCGGACATAACTGGTAATGACTATAGATACTACTTTTAGCTGTAGAAAGTCACTTGTCCAATCCCATTCACAGGTGTTCAAAGTGTTGAATTGTTACAGTCCAGTCCAGTCCAGTACATATAATAGGCAATACAAAAAAGAGTCATTTAGAAGAAACTCATTAGTCCATTTCCTTTGAAGTGGTTAAAGTGATTCTATCTTGTGTCAGCAGCCATATAGGAGAGTTACCATGTCGGGTTCTTACCTGTTGAAATTTCAGAATTTTGACACGGCCTATACCCCTAATAGATACCAATGCACCAATCTCCAATTGCTCAACCTGCCCAACATAGACATAATGAAGATGTCATTTATATGATAGTAATTTTTTCAAATATAGCAACAAAACAAGTAATATAACTCACTTTTTCTATTGCAACCAAGCAACCATATCTGGCAGCAAAAGATGCTTCTCCTGATGTATCATTGATGGCTATAGGATCTAGAACAAAGTGCACAAAGAACTTGTTCTTCTTAAAAAGAGACTGTACAGGAGAAAAAAGAAACTATTGTTAAGGTAGAATGTTTGGATAGTCAATGAGAATTTGGAACAATATGTATTTGACATTATGTAGTGACAACTCTTTCTATGTAAATGCAAAGATAGTTTTTTTTTTTTGGTTTCCAGCCGGTGTTCGGAGCCCAAATTGGAGCTCTGATTAAATTTGAATCGCGCTCTGCAGGGCCCTTTCGAGATTGACGCTCCCAACAAGATTTTCTCCATACCTAGAACTCGAGACCTCTGGTTAAATATGAAGCACTCCCCACCAGTGCACCACAACCCATGTTGGTTAATGCAAAGATAGTTGCTAAAGAAGAAAGTGAGTTATTGGTATATACACAAATTTGAGGGTTAAGTTAGAAATTAGTAAGTTTGTTCATAGAAATGTGTTGATGGTGTACCTCCTCTAAGAGTGCCAAATATCTTGCTTCATACAAATGTAATGTCTTTGTCTCTGAAGGAACTAATACCTGCATAATAAATTACAGTCACTTGAACAACAAAGTGCAAAATCTGACAAAGGAAAGAATGAAGTAAGGTTCACCTGGTCAATAGGGAAAGGGAGAAGCGGAAGCTCTGAGGAAGAAGCACAAGTCACAAAACGCCGACGTTTCTTATGAGAATGAGAGAAGCTAAATAAAATGGGGGTGGAGGTGGAGGGAAGTGATTGTCTTTTACTTGTGCAGAGTGTTGATGGCTGACAAAAGGATAAGCTCACATTCATCATCGCTCCACTCTATTGAAAATGAAGCATCAACAACCGTTATACCTCCTCTCTAATTTGATTTTCTTATATTGTAATTATTTTTTTTATGAAAATTATTATTTTTTATTTCAATAAATAAATCACACTTCACAAACACATTATTGAAATATCCTTTGAAAAATCACACATCTTCGTGTTCCTAATATAAATAAATGTGTGCATTTATAAACTTCTAAATACTACTTTATAAAGATTCATTAGTCAATAATAGTAGAAACACGTTATTTTTTAATAGAGAAAAAATATAAAGTGACACATGAAGTTGTTTCAAATTTTTAAAAAGACCTGAAATTTTTTTTTAAAAAAAAGATACCTTAATTATGCAGACATTCTATTACCTCCTAAACAATTTTGAACTTATATTATTAGATTATTTTTTTATTAGTCCCAGATTTTAAAATATAAGTGTTGCCACACACCAATCATTACGTGATACATATTAATTTAATTTGAAATATAATTTCTTTTTCATTTTAAATTCTACTTCATCTTCCACCCTAACTTTCAAGCTACCCATCCCTTCATTTTCTTTCTTCTTCTTCACCTCCTACCCTTAGTCCCTCACCACCCTCTCCCACCCCACCCCACCCCCATGTCAAGTTGAGTCCCTCCTTCATTTTCTTCTTCTTCTTCAGTCAAATTCTTTTCTTTCACTGTTTTTTTCTTATAAAAAAATCATATTGTTTTCTAGACTTTGTTGAGTTATTGATAATAAAACTAATTATTTTTCTAATACAAATCAAAAAATTGAAGGTATCGTCAATTAATTCATCTCTTTTTCATATAACTTCAAAATTAGAAATTATAATTTTGAAAGAATCAATGAATTTCCCTAAAATTGGAAAAGCTTAATTGAGATTTGGATAAAAAACTAAATGATACCTACTAATCATCTTGAAATCTAATGGGTTTATCAAATTGTTCGAAATGTTAAAAAAAGTATTTAGATATAATTTTAAAATTGAAGAGAGTTAAACTAATAGTAGTAAAGGGAGGTGGAGTTGTGATAAAAAGTGATATTGAAAGTGAGAAGCTTCAATGGAGATGACAATAAATTTTCGAAGAAGAAGGAAGAAAGAAAAAGGAAAAATAATAAGGAAAAAAAGTTAAAATAATAAGAAAATATATTTTATAGAAAAATACTTGTAAAAATAAAACATATTTGTTATTTTAGTTTGTTCACGCTCTCTTTAAGAGAGTGCATACACTCTCTATGTCAGGTGGACAAACAATGATATAATAATATTAGTAAGGGATTGTTTAGGAGGGTAATAGGACACTTGCATAATTAAGGTGTCTTTTTGAAAATTCGGGACAATTTCAGGTATCACGTTATGTCTTTTCTCTTTTTAATATAATTCTTTCACATGGCATGGACAATCTCTTCATGCCAAATATGAGTTTTTTTTAATATAAATTTTAAATTATGAGCAATTTATGGGATAAGTGTAGGATTTATAGAAAGAAATCGACGAATTGTGTACCTTATATTTTGCACCGGAAGTCGATTGCTCCAAAGTCATGCTTTGAATCACTAGGAATCAAAGTTTGATTCACAAACTAAATGTCTATCTTCCGATAGAAAAAGTTATTTTTTGTCTGGTTTGTGTTATCTTTTGTTGTTTTTGTTTTTTACGTTGTCTGTTTCTCACCTTTTTACCAGTAAAGGAATAAATCCTTTTATTAAAAGAGGTTGAAAGTTTTTCAGTTTTTAATAATTGTTCCCCCTTCTTTTTCAAATAAGAGATAAGTAGTTCTTATCACTTATCAGACAACTTCTTGGATCGGGTCGGATCGGATCGGTCCACATGGGCGACCCACGATCCAAAACTTACAATAAGTTTTACATTTAAAAAAAATAAAAAATCATGGTTTTAAATTTCAAAATATTTTTTTGTAAAAGAATTGAAATTTGAATCATGATCCCAAATTGCATGTGTTAAATGTAGGATTGAAATCACGACTTCTTTGTACACATTTGTTCACACTATAAGTTCTTCATCTATACGACAATTAATGATAATTTATAATATGTAAAATTAATTATCAATCATCAATTTATATATACTAGTTTCTCCATGTGTTCATGTAACACCTCGCGAGATTCTACGCTGAAAAATTCAAATCATTTGTCTTAAGTGTATCATCTTGGACCATGTGATTTCCTACTTGATCATGTATGTTAAGGTCTAGTCTTAAGTGTATGAAATGCGTCAGATGTGGTTTAACGTCATAAGGGACCTCTAGCACCGAGTTCAAAGGTTTACAATCGATTAAGTTTTTTCATGAGATCATATAAGGAACAACTTCAAACGATCATATCTCTCTACATATAAAGAGTTAGGTGGCCCATGACCTATTAATTTAAAGGTCTATGAGTCTTCTTTCCAACGACATCAAGATTGTATCAATCCAAATCTAGAATAAAAGGTTATGACTAATTTATCATAGGCACTCTAGTGTGTCAGAGAGTGACGACCCATTAGAATGAGATGTAAAAATTGACTAGTAGGCTTGATTTTTGGGAATTTTGATGGTCTAAGTGATGGTCCATTACTCAGTTGACTGTTCGTCACCCAAACGATGTCTGATTTTGGGTTTTTGTAGGGGGATGTTTTTTTTCTAAAACATTTGGGGAGTTATCTAAATGACCTTAGAATATATTAGGAGGGTTAGACAACCAATTTTTATCGTTCAATACCCTCTTATCCTCTTCCCAAAGTTCATCAGTCTAGAATCTTCAAGAAAACCCGAGGTTCATCATCTCCAAGCTTTGAGTTCAGGGATTCTATTAAGATTTTTCCTTTCAGGTATGTGGGATATGATTAATGGGTATCTTTCCACCCATTGAGTCTCAAAAACAACTTTATTCTTTAGTTAATCAGATTCTGGAGGACCTAGGGTTCATATGAAAAAGCACTAATTACATATTCCTTTAGTTTTTCTTCATAGGTAGCCCATTAATACATGTTTTTACCTAAAATTACCTCATAATAGGAAAAAAATCATGTTTTTGAAACTATGTTACTTAAATTGCATGCTTGATTCAGGATGATAAAATTTGTGATGATTAGTTGTACCTTCAATCTTTCATTTCCACATTATATGATGCTATCAGATAATATGTTTGTTATTTCGATATCAGATTTTAGTATTATTGAGCTATTCACTATTATCAGTATTATGTAGTTCATCTGTATAATTCAGTTGGGAGTATTACTTAGCACTGAGCGGACATAGGGATGAAGGCTCACCCATAAGTTAGGACTGAAACCTTTAGTAGCAATCCCTAAGTCTCAGAACTACGTGACACAATAGGATTATAAGGGTCGATTGTCAGATCAAAACTATCTCATTAGTCTTTTATTGACATTATCTAGGTGGTATCACATTAGCTCAAATCAGCCTTTATGCGCTAGCAACAGAGGCAAATCTAGCACTTCAAGAAACTGGATGCACCATTATAATAACTATAACTTGGCAAGAAAAAGATAAAAAAAATTACATTATCACAAAAAATATCATGTCCTTATAATTGTACTCAGTGAGACTTCATATATTGAAAACAATATATATAACATCATTATTCACATTTGCAAATATATACGCTCTATCTTACAAACTGAACAACCTATAACACCTCATAAATTGAAAAGTTGATTGTAAAGAAAAGTATGTTGGTGCAGGTTTAAACGAGGCCAAGTACGGACCATATAAGGTCCTATGGTTTGTACAAGCCAGTCATGGTTGAGATCCTGAAAATTGAAATTTTGGAAAGTCTCTGATAGAATTCCACGAGACAATAGGATGACTTGTGGATGGTCTACGGGCTTGTAACACTTGGTCGTGAAAGTGATGTTTGGGACTTAGAAGGAATCCTTAACTTAGGATGTACAAGAGGGGTCGACGATTCATGTAAGGGTTGATGGGTCATGGTTCATGGACGTGGTTCAAAGTTCATAATCTTGGTCTTCAGTAACTTGGTCTACGATTGACGAGTACGGCTTGTAGAAACTTGTACGGATCGTACATGTGTTCGTAGGGTCAATTCGACAGTTTTTAATTCAGGGTTATTTGAGTCTTTTCCCACCCTTTTTAATACCTAAATTATGTCATTTCTAGACTATTTCTAAGATGTATAACTGATTTTACTCAAATTTACCATATTCCCTCTCATTCTCTCAAAATCTCCCAAAGCTCTAATGGTCTTCTTCTAAGGTTTTTCTCAAGGTAATTTAGGGTTTCTTCAAGCTTTCAAGTCTCCCATTTCAATCTCAAGACTAGGGTTCATCAAAATACGTGGGAAGTTCATAATGGATCCTTTTCCATCCATTGACTTCCTAAGAAACCCCAATTTCTATGAATTCCAACCCAAATTCTAGGATTTTGCATGATTTCTTATGGGTTCAATTGTTTATGAATAAATTCATTATATTTGATCTTATTATGCATGAATTGATCTAAATTATATATTTTTAACGATTTTCACAGGAACTCATGCTATATGAATACTTTATGATTCTGAATTAAGTTTCAAAGATATTCATGCACTATGAATTGAGGAATTTATGTATCAAGAATACTTTCAGATAAAGTGTCGACATGTTTTATGAAAAGGTTACTTCCAATTGAAGTATTCTTATTATGAAAAGATAATCATGATTTAGATGCTTTAGATAAGTGCCTTTATGAGTATGTTATGAAATCATAATTTTGAAAGGAGCTATTGTATGATATGAAATTTATGATTTAATTAGTTATACTGTATTTTTACCATTTTAAGTGTTATGATAATGATATGATTATGCCTATTTTCGTTGGGAGTTTATTTACCTAAAATTACCTCAGAATAGGGAAAATCCTTGTCTTTGAAACTGTGTTACTTAAATTGCATGCTTTATTCAGAATGATAGAATTTGTGATGATCAATTGTACCTTCAATCTTCCAGTTCCACATGTAGATGATGCTTTAAGATAAAATGTTTATTATTTCAGTATC